ATTCACAATCTCCTCATCACAGGCAGGCACAGCACTCAATTCAGCATGTGTTCGTGTTTGTGTGAGCTGTCTGCGTCACTCATAGTACGTGCCTATATCGTGCGCTATATCGAACATTTTTGATATCGTTATCGATGAAGGTGTACCGTCGATAAATATCGATACCGTTTTATCGCCCAGGCCTATGTTGTGGTGACAGTGTTCAGAAACTCTTGTCTTGCATAAACATATTAATTCATGTAAATGGGTCAGTTTTGATTTTTGGAACTTGTTAGCACACTATAAGGCTGCATCATGTAAACATAAGTACTCTTTCTCTCTCTCTCTCATAGGACATGACGGAAAACAGTAATGCTCAGTTAGTGGTTAAAGCTCGCTTCAACTTCCAGCAGACCAATGAGGACGAGCTTTCTTTCAGTAAGGGTGACATCATCAACGTTACTCGCACGGAAGAAGGGGGTTGGTGGGAAGGATCTCTCAACGGCAAGACAGGCTGGTTTCCAAGTAATTATGTCAGAGAGGTTAAAGGGTCTGGTAAGAGTCAGTTTGCTGTGGACTATTATAAATACTTCTCTTGATCCACAGTGCACCATTATTAAAACTCTCTGTGTCTTTACAAACAAGTGTCCCCTAAATCTGGAACTCTTAAAAGCCCTCCCAAAGGTTTTGATACCACATCCATCAGTAAAACCTACTACAACCTGGTAAGCACATTTCCATCACTTACCCTTTTCAAGGCTCACCAGGTTTATTGGCTTAATTTTGGAGATTTTGTGCATAAACAGTAATCAGACTCAATTGATTTGTGAATGAGCGCAGCTGATTTGTAATCATTGTGTTAAAAATATCTTATCTAAAAATAGCTGCCGTTTGTTTGTCTTCAGGTGCTACAGAACATTTTAGAAACTGAAACAGAGTATTCAAAGGAGCTCCAGAACCTTTTGACCAACTACCTGAGACCTCTACAGATGACAGAAAAGTAAAAAGCTTTGCATTTCCCTTGAAGAAACACACAACCAATAAAACATAAGGACATACACAATTTATTTTAAAAATTCATGTTTATTCTGTGTTCTCCGACTATGGCTTTTGGGTTTAATGTGTTTATTTAGTGTAATTATCATGTCCCCTGAAGTTTTCTTATCATTTGCGTAAAGTAATGTTTGAGCACTGATTTACAGTTCTTATTGTTTCTCATAGACTGAGACCCTCAGATGTAAGTGTCATTCTCGGGAACCTGGAGGAAATCAGCACTTTCCAGCAGACTCTGGTCCAGTCACTGGAGGACACTACCAAGTGAGTATTATGCTAACCGTGAGCAGCCGTGTGATTCCCGGCCCCTCTCTTAATAGCCCCTGAGTAATTTACGACAGGAGGGCCGAAGCACTTAGTGAAACTGAGACTCAATCAAATGTATCATGTTTCGACTCTTAGATGATGAAAATAGACCTGGGCAGTAACCTGAGGTCCATTAAAAGGATTTGAATATCATTAGAGGTTTCTAATGTTTACACTGACCTCTAGTGGTAAATCCTTTAATAAGTTTGGAAAATGCTAACTGAGTTTACCAGCAAAACTATTTATGAATTTATATTATAAATTTATACCTCTCACAGAAAGTAAATTGAGTATATTAAAGTAAATTAATGTTAGTTTTTTTTTTTTGGGTAGAAATTTTAGACTTAATGAGACATATACATATATTTTGTCTAAGATCAAAGAAAAAAAACATACAGTTACATATAAATTAATACATATAACTATTAAAATATTGATAAAATGCATGAATAAAAATGAGATGTTATATTATTAACTTTATATTATTATATTATTCTAAATTTTAGCTGGGCTCTGTTGAGTCCTGTTTGCAAAAACCAAAAATAGATATCAAAATTAAGACCGAAAGTACGCTACCATTCAAAAAATTTGGCATCAGTAATAATTTTTTAATGTCTTTGAAAGAAGTCTCTTATGCTCACCAAGGCTGCATTTATTTTGATCAGAAATAGAGTAAAATTGTGAAATATTGTTGCAATTTAAAATAAGTTTTCTAATTAATATATTAAAATGCATTGATTATAAATTGCATGATTCATTTTTTTTTGATGAATAGAAAGTTCATCAGCATGTATTTGAAACTGAAATCTTTTGTAACATTATAAATATTTTTGCTGCCACTTTTGATCAATTTAATGCATCCTTTGCTGAATAAAAGTATTCATTTCTTTCTTTCTTTCAAAAAAATCCTACTAACTCCAAACTTTTGAATGGTGGTTTATCTGCAAAATAATTGGAGACTTTAAATTTAAGATGTTTGGGATTAATTAATTGCAGAATGTGTTGTTATTATTGGGAATATAGATTTATATCCTAGGTTCGGAAGAACCTAAGTAGAATATTTGAAGAATATTAGCACAATATTTGTGTAATAATTCTCCTCAATGTTCTGTGATTTAAGGCTTCCAGAGCTACAGCAGAAAGTAGGAGGGTTCTTCCTGAATCTCATGCCCCAGATGAGGTCTCTTTATGTGTCTTACTGCTCCAACCACCCATCAGCAGTCAGTATTCTCACCGATCACAGGTACGCCATCATACCAGGTTCTGATTTCACAGAGAGCCTCTACACTCATAACTGGTGATAACTTCTCATTTCTGTCCCTACAGTGAGGAACTCGGGGAGTTCATGGAGGGGAGGGGTGCGTCGATACCAGGCATTCTCACGTTGACCTCTGGCCTCAGCAAACCCTTCATGAGACTTGACAAATATCCCACATTACTTAAGGAACTGGAGAGACACATGGAGGTAGGAGAGAGAGAGAGAGAGAGAGAGAGAGATTGAGTTTATGTGATTTCTGCTAATGAAAAATGTCTTCTTTCCTCTTCAGGAGGGTCATCCAGACAGGACAGAAATTCAGAAATGTATGACAGCTTTCAAGAATCTCTCTGTGAGTGTTAACTGCCTAGTTAATATGCTAAAGCAGACTGGCGTCCTGTGGCTTTGCTGCTGCAGTTAGGTGTGGATCATTCTCATAGCAACCAGCCTTCTTAAAGTATTGTGTTGCCGTGGTTACAGGCACAATGTCAGGAGGTGCGGAAGCGCAAGGAGCTCGAGCTTCAGATCCTGACTGAGACGATTCGCCTGTGGGAGGGGGAAGACATTAAGACCCTGGGTTCAGTGCTGTATATGAGCCAGGCCTTGGTCCAGAACCACGGCTGTGAGGTGAGGTCTCAGTGGCTGATACATCTGGGGCCGGTTGCACCAGCTGTACGTAAGTTACAACTTGGCCTAGTTTTGACGTAAATGGGCACTAAGTTACAACTTGCGCACTACTAAATATTTTTTCGTTGCACCATTACACGTAGTTGAAGTGTAACTTATAAACTAAATATTTACGGAAGCGTCTGGTGAGGAGTAACGGTTGGAATAAAATAGCAGACTGAGTGAACTGCATCAATATGCTCTTCTTTTACCCGACAACCTTCAATCCTTTAGGCATATATGATGCTGCTGACATTTACACTCACGTACATATTAAGAGAGTTAGTTGAAGTATAATTCTACGTATAAACTAAATAATTATGGAAGTGTCTGGTCAGGAGTAACGGTTGGAATAAAATAGCAGACTGAGTGAACTGCATCAATATATTCTTCTTTTACCCTATAACCTGCAATCCTTTAGGCATTCAGTGGTGTGAAAAAGTGTTGGCCCCCTTCCTGATTTCTTATTTTTTTGCATGTTTGTCACACTTTAATGTTTCAGATCATCAAACAAATTTAAATATTAGTCAAAGATAACACAAGTAAACACAACATGCAGTTTTTAAATGAAGGTTTTTATTATTAAGGGAAAACAAAATCCAAAACTACATGACCCTGTGTGAAGAAGTGTTTGCCCCCCTCTTAAAACTGCGGTTTATCACACCTGAGTTCAATTTCTCGAGCCACACCCAGGCCTGATTACTGCCACACCTGTTCGCAATCAAGAAATCTCTTAAATAGGAACTAAGAACTTACGAATGGCTGGTGCAACCCTACCCAGATGAACAGTCAGCATGAAATGAAAATTCACCCTTTTCTAAATGCTTGTTATTAATCATATTGTGAATGATTAATTCATGCAGGTTTTTATTTTTTTGACAATGTGTAATCAAAATGTCATAACTCGATTATCCAGTGAAACATCAGACTTCTCTTTGGTCACATACAGTGCCGTTCAAAAGTAAGATTTTAATGTTTTTTAAAGAAGTTTCTTATGCTAATCAAGGCTGCATTTATTTGATAAAAAATACTGTATTTTGTGAAATATTATTGCAATTTAAAGTAAGTTTTCTATTTTAATATACTTTAAAATATAATTTATTTCTGTGATCGAAGCTGAATTTTCAGCATCATTTCTCCAGTTTTCAGTGTCACACGATCTTTCAGTAATCATTCTAATATGCTGATTTATAATCAGTGTTGGAAACTGTTGTGCTGCTTAATATTTTTTGGGACATGTGATATTTTTTTTCAGGATTCTTTGATTAATAAAAAGTTAAAAAGAACAGTGTTTATTCAAAGTAGAACTTTTGTGTTACAATATACACTACTATTCAAAAGTTTGGGGTCAGTACATTTTTTTTAGTTTTTTTTAAAGGAATTAATACTTTTATTCAGCAAGCATGTGTTAAATGGATAAAAAGTGATAACTTTTTAAACTTTTTATTAATCAAAGAAAAAAGTATCACAGGTTCCAAAAAATATTAAGCAGCACAACAGTTTCAACACTGATAATAAATCGGCATATTAGAATGATTTCTGAAGGATCATGTGACACTGAAGACTGGAGTAATGACTGATGAAAATACAGTGCTGCGTCACAGAAATAAATTATATTTTAAAGTATATTAAAATAGGAAACTAATATTAGAAATTGCAATAATATTCCACAATATTACTGTTTTTTTTCTGTATTTTCATCAAAGAAATATAGACTTGAGAATGAGCATAAGAGACTCCATTTAAAAAAACATTAAAATGTTACTGATCCCAAACTTTTAAATGGCAGTATTAAATTGTTTTAAAGTATATTAAAATAGAAAAACTATATTAGAAATTGCAGTAACATTTTACAATATTACTGTTTTTTTCCATATTTTTGATCAAACAAATACAGCCTAGATGAGCATAAGGGACTCCATAAAAGAGTTCGTTCACCCAAAAATGACAATTCTGTCATGAATTACTCACCCTCATGTCGTTCCAAACCCGTAAGACCTTCGTTCATCTTCGGAACACAAATTAAGATATATTTAATGAAATCCGAGAGCTTTCTGACTATTTTACCGCTGTCCTTACTAAGTTTCTGGGTCTGCATTGCTGTCTATGCAGGGTCAGAAAGCTCTCAGATTTCATCAAAAATACCTTAA